CATTGTTTATGAACACAACCACGTGGCAAACGGACATTGCAGTTCTTATTAAGAAACGCTATGCACAAACAGGCCATGATACATTAGTATTTACATTTATTTAATGTATGCAATTTACACACTCATTACTGAACACAACTGGAATGCAAACAACACATATACAAATGCCCTAAGAAGCATTATCCAATGAAGTAACTGGCACTAGTGTTATCAGCGTGTTCCTGGACCCATGAGGCAAAGTGATGGAAGAAGCCTGCAGCCCATGGCATTTCCCTCTTTCTTAAAGGAAAATGCTCAGTAGCACCAGAATGGCAATACTCAGAAAAAACAAACACAGGATGGGACATTTTCACTGCTGTTGTTGAAGTTATTATCCTGCTTTCAGTAAATTATACAAGGGCGCTTCTCAAGAGTTTGTGAGAAAGAAACGCCATTATCTTTTAATTCCAATTTTCCGTGGACTTTTTGAAGCCCCGAGTGGGGCATGAAAAGGCAGGCAGTATTTTGGCCAACTTCTCCTTACGTCTGCTGAACACCTGCCACAAACAGAAGTGAAAGAAAAGAAACCCAACGGCCTGAGGGGCCCCCTTCCCACGCTGCACTCGGCCTAGCTCAGCAGCATGCTCTTGACCTTGCTTTTGGCGTAGACACGCATGCGTTTAGAAACGGAGGTTATGTCAAGTTATTCAAGAAAGCCTGAGTGTGTCTTTGGTAGGCTAATACTTTTTCAGCATTATTAGTAATCACATTCATGTTCGTAGATTTCTTATCATTTTCTACATAACCCATGGTGGCTAGAGAGGACAGAGCGGTGAACAACACAGCAGAGTCCTCAGATGACTAGGTCCTTACAGGCCAGTCTGCCACGAAGGCACTGAGAATCCAGTGGGGTGCAAACTCCCCTCAGTGAAAGGCGGCTTGCTTTTTTAATACTTATAAAGGACTGGGATTTTATTTTGCAGCGGGATAGATCTTATTTGTTGTTGTCAGTATACTTATTTACCTACCATTACAGTTTTCTTCTAAGATGGCGTCAATAATACACAAGATATACAGAGTACCAGGTTTCTATTTCAAAGTTGTGCAATAACTGCCACAATCTTGCTCAAAGTATCTAAGTATCCAAATGGTAGCAAATGGGCTGCATTAAGCTTTCTATATCCACATTGCATATTAAGGAAAAAAAAGAAATTTATGCCCAGTTATGAAGAAAACATGTTACAAGGAGTAGACTACACTAAAAGCAACCTGCAAGGTTCTTCTAGCCAGTATCCTTTTAGTGGTCTCAATCAAATGTCACTAACCACTGATCCCTAAGCGTCAAGTTTTCTTCATAAGAATGTTATTGTTAGTATTTTACACTGATTATAAGTTAAGCCACGTTTCTATCTAAGTACACACGTAGGTGCTTCCAGCAGTGTTTTGTGGCAAACGCACAAGACCTGCTTCACTCTCTAAGAGTTACTGTCCTTATAATGCACTTTTAAAGCCTTCATCAGAGTTTGGTAACTAATACCCACATGACAGACAATGCTTTGCTGAACACATAAAATATATCTGCTTTCTGATTAGGAAACCGGGCTCTTGCTGGTAACTTGAAACTTAGTCACAGGTCATTCAACCAGCTTCCCACCCGGTCGTTCAGTGGTGAGCATCTTGCAGCATGCAGAGGCCTAAATCTCAGTCTGAATTGCAACTTTCAAGTCCAATGTCTGGTGTGGATGATTGTTATTGGCTTCTTTTAGGGCATCAGCATAATATAAGTCAACACGGGACACCAATCCACTGTGTCCGGTGTGTTCCTCAGCAGCGGGATTCGTCTGTGGGACTTCGGAACACGGAGCCATCTTGGTGAGCACAGCAATGCTACACTGATGGGGGGAGTTCTCCAGACGGTCGTGCTCCACTTCGGGAAGGCTGCTCACAGGAGCGAAGCGGGCGTGGCAGTCCCCGGAGCCGTGGCTGCACGAGGTCTTCACGCTCTCCAGGTCACAACAACTGAATTCGGAGAAGTGGCTCGAGTGGGAATCTGCAACCGAAGGCATGCTGTCGCTGAGGGACGGAGCCTCAAATTCACTCGAGTTTGTGCTTTGCTGTTCCAACAGCTGGGCGTCCATGTCCTCTCTGGTCTCATTGATCTTCATGTTACCCTTTTTCCTCAATTTGCCACTTTTTGATTTTTTCCCTGTTGTTGCTTCTTTGGACCACTTGGTGGCACTGGATTTACCATCAGGCAGGCCACTCGACGAAGCGCCAGTCTGACTTCGGGCAGCACTGCCATCATCCACGCTACTGCTTCCACTGTGGTGTCTGAATTTGGAGGGCTTTGACTCGATATCGACCTGCACCTCCACACTGTTGCCCTCCCTGCAACACAAGAGTAACAGCTTTCAGTATCATTCCGGACTTTTGAAAAGCTATCAGAACTCATCATGCATAATACAGTCAATTAAAAAACTTGATTGAAATTAAAGGGCTTTATATAATGCTTCAATTTGCAAAAACTAGTATAGCCGTAGTCCAGGTAAATGTAATTTTTTTTTAAATGAACAGCTTTAAAAACCAAACCCACTGTCCGTTGCGATGTGACCCTACATAGTTTTCAAGGCTGTCCACACTCATGGGAACAGCTGTCCACTCTCTTGTCCAGCTGGGGAGCTTGAAGCGCTGACCTTGTTTGTCCCTAGCAGTCAGTTCACCAGTTACCCCAACAGCGCCACCAAGGGTTACTGAGCTGTAATTGACAGACTATCAGGAGTGCCCTTGAAAAACGTGGAACTCACTGGCTGCACACACCCACACAGCTGCGTCACTGCCACCCTTTTCTAAATGCAGACCATTTCCACTGCAAAGGGCCCCTGTGACCAGCAGCCGCCCCACTTCTTCCTTGGAAAGCACTCATCTACTTTCGGTCTCTATGCATGTCTGTGTGCAGATTTCAAATAAGTAATATGACACACTTTGTGGTGTGTCGAAACTGACTTCTTTCATGGCACATGTTTGCAAAGTCCATCCGTGTGGTTATGATGCCTTTCTTTAAGGGCAGCAGGGAAGGCTGACTCCTTCTAAAATTTACATCGTTACTAAGAACGCTCTGCTATGCCTGGGAAATACTGGTATAATATCACATAAGTGTTGCACAAGCTTTGACCATCTTGTACCATAATTTCTCACCATTTTCTTCTTTCAGAAAGCTTATAGTTGGTATCCATCACTTACTGGTGACTTCATCTATTAACAGTGATAGTTCTTTTCAGATTACTAAAGGACCCTAATAACGTGAAGCCACTCTTTCCTTACTTTTCCAGCGGGATGTAGGAATTCAGGATAGATCCTGCCATTGCTTTGGTGCTGGCACTGTCACTAACTGTGCCCAGGCTGACTGTGCCCGACTCGCCACTCAGACTGTACTGCTCCTTCTGCACGTCTGCTTGGACTTCCACCCTGCGGAAGGAGAGGGCGGGCAGAGAGTGAGGGCAGCAGTCTCGGCACTCGGTGTATAATCCAGATGTCACACCGTTCTGCTATGGAGCTTCATGATGAGAAGCTATTTTCAAAAGGTCTCACCTTATTTGATTATTCAAATTTGACTATAGCACAATGAACCAGGTAAGGCACACAAAGAGAATGGGGAAAATTGTTTATTTGTCAAAGTAAGGTATTAGCAGAATGACACATACATACACACAAAGGATAAAAACAAGCTCTATTAGCCTCATGCAGGATGTAGCTGGCATTTTCTACATTGAATTTTTGTGCAAAAGTTAAAACCACAGAGACACATTATCAACCAAGGTACATGACTTAATGTACCTGGACATCAATGTTAAAAAGAACATTTGATTCTTTATATGTGATAGTAACAGCACAGTATCTACAGAAAAGAATGTGTTCAAATGTAAACTACCTAAAAATAAGATATTTATGTGTTCTCATGTAAAAATTAAGTAAAAACTAAAAATTACAAAAAGTAAAGACTAGAGCGCCATGGAATGGAAGAGAACTTTTCTCTAGCTGCTGCTGGGAAAGCCTTGGGAAGACTGCAGTAACCACGAGGACTTCAAAGCACCACGGAGCCTATTCTGGCCCCCGGTCCTGCATGCTCAGATGGCCTGTCCTCGTGAGCATCCTCTCTCTTCCTCTATCTGTGGTCACCTCCAGAGGAGGCCTTGGGCTGAAGCATTGCCCTTCCATGTGCACCAAAGCAGCTTTACAGCGACTGCCTTGTAATCAAAGTAACTGACACATGCAGTGAAAAAACCAACACCGTAAAAGACAAAACACAACCTGGCAGATTGTCATGCCTTCTACGTACATCACGACAGAGAGTTCAGTAACAGTAAACATGTTCTTATTCACTTTCTACCATTAAAATCCCATTTTCTTCCAAATAAAATAAGTGGGAAAAAAGTATATATATAATTTTCCAATATGATGATTTCCATCCCTGACATGGTGAGGTTCTATGTCATCATTTAAATGCTTCTCTTCTAATTAATGACTTGAAGTCAACAGAGGGTAAATACCAAGCCCAAACGCACGGGGGTTTCCTACCTATTGAAACAGTTCACCATGGCGCTCCCCGACAGGCTCCCTGTTATACTGGCTCCAGCGAGAGCCATGGTGCTGGCCGTTTCACTCAAGTTGTCTCGAATGGCTCCGATCCGATCCATGTGACTTCCACTTGCACTCAAACTGCCGGTCAGACCGCCAACACTGCCCTCTCCTATGCTAGGGTTGTGTCTTGCTTCCGCTACTGAAGTTGTATCTAAATGAAAACATTTTAGAAAAATGAAGTAATTATGATTATTAATAACCCAGTCTTAAATTCCTGTGATTGTGGACAGGACATGTTATTATAAAGTATAAAACATACAGGAAAAGAAGAGCTGTTTGGAGTCAGGGTAAGAATGAGACACGAGGTTGGAGGGAGGGTGGGGTGGAAAGGGGGAACCGATTACAAAGATCTACATGTGACCTCCTCCCTGGGGGACGGACAACAGAAAAGTGGGTGAAGGGAGACGTTGGACAGTGCAAGATATGACAAAATAACTTATAAATTATCAAGGGTTCATGAGGGAGTGGGGAGCAGGGAGGGGAAAAAATGAGCTGATTCCAGGGGCTTGGGTGGAGAGCAAATGTTTTGAGAATGATGAGGGCAATGAATGTACAAATGTGCTTTACACAATTGATATATATATATGGATTGTGAAGAAGAGTTGCATGAGTCCCTAATAAAATGATTAAAAAAAAAAAAGGAATAAGGAGAAATATCTCAGCAACTAGTGGTGGACCAGGAGCAGCCCTGGAATTTAAATGGTCATACATTAAAAAAAAAATACAATTCAGAAGAATAAACTTGGTTGGTGATGGGTTTAGCTTACTCTTGTAGAAAATAATCTATCAGTTTTTAATAATGGTCATTTAAAGAGAATATCAGTTTCCAGGTCAGGTCACTAATATTGGGTAAAAGATGACTTCCAGATATATCTCACAGTTTAAAATTACCCAGAAGCGTCTACAAGATCTGATAACGCTATATTCCAATATTGTACTTTTCACATACTTTGAAATGAATTTATTAACCCCAATATTTGAGTTCTACTCTCCATACCCAACAATGATCTAGTACTAAAGACACAGTGAACCAAGAAACAACTTGTCCTAAAGAAGCAAACATTTAGGAGCATGGAGAGTAAGAGCTAAGATCATACTGTGAGATAAATTATATATACATATATATATGAAAAGAGGATAGTAAAAGGGAGCGAGAAGGCCTCCTTGTTAAGGTAACAACACTTCAGCAGAGACTCAAAGGAAGTATACGAGGTATGAAATGATTCAGCGGAAGAGCATTCCAGGCAGAGAATGTACAAGGAGAAATGCCTAGATGGGGGGAGAGCACTTTGCATTTCCAACACATCAGGGTGGGGTGGTAATAGAAAAGGAACGTGGCCAGATCTGGAGATAAAGAGTTGGGAACCAAAAACTTGTGGACCTTAGAAGGCCTTTGGATCTTGCTCCCAAGTACCACCCTCCCCACTTTACGATCAGAAGCCACCAGGGTAGGTTTTGAGCATAGGAAAGATATGATTTGACTTACAACTTTTAACTACACTGTGGAGTACATTTTCAGGAAGCAGCTGGTGGGAAGGTGAAAATACAATTAGGAGGCTACTACACTATCCAAGACACAGGACGGGAGCCTGGATTAAGAGAATACTAGTAGAGAGGGAGAGAGAAATGGGGGGGGGGGTTGTGAATAAATAGTGAAGGAAGGGCAAGTAGAACTTTCTGAGACATCAGATGCAGGGTATGAAGGGGAAGAATGTTGGATGTACCATGGGCTGCTACAAGGGGCAACTATCTGAGAATGTAACAACCAGATAGTCCTCAGAAGCAAGGGTGGTGAAGTTTCATCTCACGCATGTTGGACTGTAATCAAGCAGAACCAGTCCCCGAAGAACACCACGCTAGCCAGAGGATCAAAGAAAGGAAGAGCCTTCAGGAGATGACTGTCACAATGGGCTCAACCACAGCAATGACTACGACGCGGGTACCACACTGGTGAGGTTTCCTTCTGTGGTATTAGGTAAGGTCAGTACGAGTCAGAACCAATTGACTTGATGGCACTTAACAAGTTCTCGTTTATGAGTAGCATGCTTCTATATGTTTTAATTACGGATTTATAATGTTTTATGTAAAATTTCAGTATATGAAAAAGATATGATTTCTAAGCTATTTCATGCTCATTGGTGAAATACTCCATCCTTTTTCTTCTTCCACATACCTCTTTCCTTAGTGACTCATTTTACTGAAGTGATTCTTTTTTTTTTTT